CTGCTCTTGCTGTCAAAATGGGACCTATAGAGCAGCTTAAGGGCCAGTCTCATCCATCATTGGGGAGCCACACACTGCTATAGTAAACAGTGCTCCGCCGGCCAGTATAATATTAAATAGTAGTATAGTAAACCAGCCTTCTGCCTTCATTAAGATTGAGCAATTGTCAATGGAGGCAGGAGGTAGCTTCCCACAAATTTTATGGACATATTTGAATAGAGGTGTCATAAATAAGAGGTTAATGCCCCCTTAGGCCATTTTATTAGAGCAATAAGACTTGAGGATGCAAGCTTGTTAGTTCATCACACACTGTTAGATCATTACAGTATAGCAATTGATATAACACACAAACTTGCTGATAGGAAACTTGATTAGCATGTTAAGGTTTCCATAGTTGCTGCCCTTGAATAGGCAGTCTCCACTCTCCTGTTCTTTGATGTAGGTGTTGCGGCGTTTCATGGCGCGATGCATGGCATTTCTAGCATTGGCATCGAAGTTGTCACAGGTAAGGATTTTCTCCATCATAGACTAGACTTATTGGCTTGCGTCTTCGTTGTCTTGGAGGATTGTGTTTCTCAGTATTAAGTAAAACTGAAGCCACCCATGTACAGAATGTTTCGTTGCTCAGGGGCTTTTATGTCGCCTGGTTCACTCCTTTGGGAAGCAGTGCATATCTCTTAAGACGGAGGACAACACCAATCCCGGTGCTTTGGAAAGCGAATTTGAAAGTTTTGTCATGCTGTATGAGCGTCTCATGGTGTTGGAGTGGCTCAACTCTGGGAAGATAGAGTAGAATGTATCAAAACTAGGTTGCTTTGCAAGCGCATACCAGCTTGGTAAATGCAAAGATTTGTAGACGATCCTTCTGATCAGGCAAATGAATACGAAGTAGTGTTCTTTCTGGCCTGGAAATTTGCGCTCGGGCATATCACCATACATCTCCTTAATATAGATTCACTCCCATCAGTGGAGGCTCGTTTAACTGGCCCCAGCCGTATAAAGGGCCATCTGCATTTGTGCATTCCTACTCCGCTCGAGGAGGAGTGTTCGTTAAAGTGGTTTTGAGAAACCTAATCTAATAAATTTATGTTAGTAAAGAAGCGATGACGACAGACAGATTTTTCACCTTTTGATACCCATAATAATGGCCCGCTGGTAACGGTCTAATAGGACTTATAGAATGGGATGCTCTTTCGATAGTAGGTGACGTGCCATACGCACGGGTAGGGGTATCCCCCGGATAAGAAGAGTAGCTCTGAGACCCCATATATAATAACAGGACAGAGGAAACTCCTACGGCAGTAGCAGAGCAGGGATGCGGTATTTGAAGGTAGAGTTCAAAAGCGATAGTGAAACCGGGGAGATATCCTAAGGCAATTCACATTAGCAGTGAGTGATCAGGAGTCAAGAAAACGGGAGATGGGAATACCCTCCCCGTCCCAATTCACAGTGGTAATCTCAGTTAATAATACTGGGTAACCGCAGGTGGTGCAAAGGTCAACTTCTAGCTGCCTACCTGGCTGTCGTCGTCACAAGTTTTGATCAGGGGAAGCTTTGGTCAGGGGCTAGCCAGAACTGATCACGTGTAGAATTTAAATAATTTGAATTGTTAGTTATCCCTGGATGTGAACTAGTAGAATGTTTCGAGGTGGAATATTAATGCATTAATTTGGGGAACCATCCAAAACAACTAGCTTCCATCGCGTACGCTATGTATATTCCACTCTGAGGTATGAGGAGCGCCTCCCATTAATTCCTTATTTACTTATAGGAGCAAAAGTGCTAGAAGAAGCATAGGAATAGCTAGGCCTCTATCGCCAAGCTTGGTTCGAGTAGCACCGGCCTTCTTCGCTGTGCTAGTGGGTGTTTTTCCGTTGGATGTCGGCGTGGGGAATTCGACACCGGGGAATAAATGTTTCGTATTTTCATCAACGAGGATGTAATCCAGGATGAGACCGGAGCCATTTTCGAGGATAGCCACCTGCTCCTCTGTGCAGGTGAAATAGTCAAGGATGTAACATGTAGGTTTCGGCTTGGTGGGGGGCTTATGCTTTATCTGGAAAGTTGTGGGTGACCCTTTGGTAGAATAAGCTCTATCGATCGCGGTGTTAACCTTGCCGGTAGCAATATCCATGTTGAACATAGTGCGGCGGAAAATTTCAAATGCCGTTTCGGGTTGATATGCAGGAACCATATGTCCAGCCTGGTATACCCTGCTGAAAGAGAAATTGCCGTACTGACGGACTTGCCCGCCGATATAGGAAGAGTTTGTTTTGATATCAGCATAACCAGCGGCCCTAAATCGAGAAGCATCCCCGTAGTTCACAGAAAGGCTAGTGTTCTCTCCTCCCACCCAGTTACAGGAGAAATCTCTATCCCCATATATCAGTGCCACTTTAACTCCAGAGTCTAACAGATATCCTATGTCATTTGTATATCCATGAGCACCAGGACTGACGTAATCTCCAGTTGTATTGAACGCGGTGAATACGGCCATAGAACCGCTCGTATAGTTGAGAGGAACGCCGAGGGCAGCTTGTACATGTGGTCTGTTGAGATACCCTTGGAAAAATGGAGGCGGGAAAGGATCAGCTTTAGGGTGCGCAATATCATAAAATCCCAAGCCACTGCCATCCATGTACGGTACTTCAACCTTGAGGCAGGCTTCGGACGCCTGGCGGCAAGCCTCGTTCACCGTGGCGTTGTTGCCATGATGATTTAGGTCGCCTTCATGTGTCAGCCTGCGGCAGTTTTGCGATTGCTCCATACATCCGCCGGGCTTGAGGTAAGCGTCGAGCATGGCATCGTATGCAGAACTATTGACGGCTTCAATCCCATAGGTGTTGTTGCGCGCGAATTCAGGATACGTGAAAATTTGGGAAAAAATGTCAATGCAGCCACTGACAATCCCAACAGTGTCAATATGAAGGACCACCTTGCCATCTTTGTTGGCGATGGTACCATTCCTGATTCTCTGGTTTTGTTCCAGTAAGAATCGAGCAAAGCTTGGACCAAATTTGCCGCCATATGACTCTGTCCAAATGCTGATTTTGTCATCTTTTGGCTTATATTCGGGAAATTCTTGAAACCAAACTTGGGCAAAGTGCCAGAAGGAACGGGCAGCGTTCAAAGTATTGTTGACGGTGTTCTGAGGATTCTGGCTCGGATAAGTCCCCACCCAGAATGTGTTGTTTTGAGATGGCACACTGTTGCTCGAAAAGTCTTTGATCGTGATATCACCCGTAACAAATTCCGCCGTCACATTCACGAGCGCGTCGTAACTGTGACCGGTCTGAACAGGTTGATCGATATATAGCATATTAACGTTTCGATTCCAGGACCATGGGTTGAGAGTTGTTGAATTGGAATCATGATTAACAGTGCAAGGCCCATTTTCCTGGAATAGTCCAAACCTAGATCACAAGAGTTAAGAATTTCTTATAGTAGAATTGATAGAATGGACTTTATATTGTCTTTTACATGCTAGACGCTCCGGGGCCACCGTTAAAAAATGTGGCTAATGAAGCATTTATGGGATCTTCACGAGCCTCAAAAAACCAGAAGAAAGTATTGATAGAGTAGTTCTGGTAAACCTCTACGTCTTCGAGAGTCCCAGGAGGTAGGTGAACATATCCAGCGTACGCCCTGACGCCTGGAGTGGTTTCACAGATACTCGTCTAGTTTAATATCAGCCACAACGTAATTTGGAATGCCGGCTGCGAGCAATGGTAAAGATAAGAGGCGGTCGTACCTGTTTATATGATATTGACACCCCGTTGCTAAGCGGGACGGTGCGGACATCCTTAGGGGGCGGAGGGAAGTATTGGCTTAAAACAGGCCGAACGAGTGCGGCCACCGCTGCAAACACAGCAATGGGGAACTGCATTTCAAACGTCGAGAGAGAAGAAATAGAGCCGGCGGTGTTTATGTATATGACCAGCAACAGCACCAGTGGTCAGTTGGGGATGTCGTCAATTTGTAGGAATCACCAAAACCAGGTCGACGTAAAGACGGTAGAAGAAGAAAGAACACCAAAGGACTTCTCTTCCTTTTAAGCCACGCCCTCACGGGCAAAAGCTTCGCATAAAAATACTCCAGCCATTCCCATGTCAACGCCGCCAATTTGGGCAGGGGCTTGGAATTAAAGCCCTTCAACAGCTCTCGAATCTGCTCAATCCTTTGTTATGTATGCTGTGAACTGTGTACGCCATACATCAGAGGTTCCAATAAACACACGCCATAACCAATCCTTTGGGATTTCTTTGATTGTATGAAATTGATCTGAGAATTAGCGCCTGGGGTCTCCTGTTTCCTGCAGTCATGGTGATCAGGAAACGTCATATGTGTTAAATATCCGTCGCGTTTGCCTATCCCACTCCACTGGCAATCTCAGGGCGAGGCCAGATAACCCAGGCCATAATTTCGGGCCCATGCTTACCGTTTGAAAAACGGAGTTCTCGATGATCAGTTCTGATATGAAGTCAACCTTTCTGGTCCAATGCTAGCCGTCCTAGTCCTGATGAGGGCCAATAAAACGAATCCCGGTTCGGAAAAACTTCTTGTGCATTCATTCTTAGGGGACTGCGGCTCTTCCTCGCCAACGTCATGCATGAATGATAATGATACGCAGCAACCATTTAGTCGCACAATCGGCATTGGACGCAAATTGCAGCTGGCTCTGAAATGAATCAGTTATTGGAATCTAACTGAGAAAAATCATAGGCAGTAGTTGCCGGATTGGGGATTGGGTCCACGTCGAGAAAATTTGAGATTAAAGGTTTCAAAAATCCCATTCAGCTAAACAATGTCTGCTAGAAAGGAGAGGGAAAAGAGCCCCCGAATGAAATGCTGCCAATAAACTGCTCTCCAACCAACGCTCTTTGGCTTGCTAACGCCAAATCGTCCCCCACCATGCGGCTGAATAAGGTTCTAGCCTGCGGGGTTGAAGGTGATGATATTTTCTCGGAGCTCAATCGAATCCTCGACCCATACCCATCTGACGAAAGTCGAACGTCTTTATCTCTTTGATTATACCCTTTACGATTCCATACTTACTGGGCCGACCTTGGATGGGTTGTATCCCAAGAAAAGAGTTCAAAGCTAGCTATAGAAATGGCAGTAATATCCGTCACACCAATGGATCTGACGGAAACCGCTGATGACCTTCCTTCAGACGTTTTGCTACTATGGCAGCAGGCGTTGGCTAGGTATCATAAGAGCACAGGCGAAGATCTTCAGAAGGTGCCTCGCTTTACTTCTGTCGAGTATATCCTCAAAGATGCTGAGCTGCAACAAACCACCTTTAATAGATTCCGACATGATGGCGAACTGATCGACAGGCTTTGATCCTCTACAGGGTGAAATGTGAATTATCTAGGATCGCTCAGACTCCTCGTAGATAGCCTGCTTTAGTGAGCACCTATTTTATTTGTCTCGAAGAGACTACCAACAGAAAACTTTCTTCTACTTAACACAATATTTTTCTAACGAAAGTGACCTCATCTATCTGAAGGCTTGTCTTCCCACTGTCGCTATCTCTTCTGCTATGTTTCACTTTCTTCAGGTATTCATGACCTCCGTGCTGATTTGAATCGCTTTGCTTGTGGTTATAAATGCATTGTTGTATGGAAAATTCATGTCCCTCACCCTTCGGAGTGTGTAGGTGACCAAAGACGTTTCTTCAGATTGTAATCAACTAGTCGACCTTTTCGATTCGATGAGGGCGTTTCTAGAGCATTTATCAATCATCGAGGGGAAATTGCCTTCAATTCCCGCATACAGGTCTCATGTTATGCTTGTCTTCTTAGCTTTGTTGAGCGTGTGTGGTATTGCAACCACATACATAAAGAAAGGGCGATGGAGTAAGCACATTGTCCACCTGCCCTTCGGCGTTTTTAGTACTTATTATATAGGGAAAATGGGCCAAAGCTTTCAGGGATGTGGGAAACGATGAGGATCTGCAATCGGCCAAATCTACGATGAAGGAGTCACTCGCGCAGCTTGAATCTGCGTCACTCACGGTCATCCTCACTACTACGCAAGATCTGAAGCAGGACACAAACACCATTGTTACCCAAACCGAAAGAATCGACTCTAGGACTGAAAGGATCGAAGTCTCTATCCTTGCCCAACGAGAGGAGTTCCACGATATGTCGGCCAAATTTTAAAAAATTGCTAAAAAATCAGCAGAAGGAAGCAAGGAGGACTCAATTGCATGATTCGGGGAAAACTGCAGATGCGGCAACACGAAAGCACGCCACGTTTAATTCCGTGAAACTTTACTTCGAGAACAACATTGACTCCGCCTGGCAGGCTCTTATTCTTCTGTAACGGGACCAGCTAGATGGGTTTTGGATGAAGAAGCTTACCAGGTATGGCGTGAAGGAACCACTAATCCATACCTCTGGATCTCCGGTGACACTCGCCTTGGAAAAACCTCCGCTGCATTTTTATTGTCCAAAGAATTAGAGGAAGCATTTGCCTCCGAGCCGAAGACCTCTATTGCCGCTTTCGACTACCAGGATGATCAAGCCGAATTTATGTCCGTATCAAATGCGTTTTCTAGCATGATTATCCAAATCGCAGGAGGAAATAGCGGCTATTGTGAGCAAGCATCGTCAGAAGCCGGAAAGGATGGAGGGGTTGACACTGATGACTGGACCGACTTATGGGAGCGGCTTCTTCCAATCCAAATTCGGAAGCGGGTCTACATATCGACTTTTCTTAATCATTGACGGACTGGATCAGATAACCGCCGACGACAGATCGAAATTTCTTGAATTATTAGCACGAATACGAAAACAGAGTCTGAGCATACACGTGCTTCTCACAAGCCGTGTTGGTATACAGTCCTCCCCTACCTTTCTCGAATCACTCAAAGTTGTCGCTACCAAGTAGAAACTGCGGAGGGACATGACTCTTCTGATTGAAGGCAGATTGAGACGCTTCCAAAACCTATATGAATTTGGCAGGCGAACGAAAAAGAAAATACTCTCCAAATTACTGGAAAAATCTGATTGTAAGCTTTCCCTATTGCCCTTTTGTTCCATATTTTCCTAAGTATGTCTATGATTACGTCGCTAATTCTACGTTAGCAATGCTATATGTCGACCATATGCTGCGGCGATACAATTCTATTGGTAGGGAAGGAATGGTGTTGAAGGACCTCGAAACGAGCTTTCCAGATAGTCTCCAATCTGCTTATAACATTCTGTTGACTGAGGCTCAGCAGCGCAGAACCTCCGAACACCTGCAATATTCAAGCAGTTGTTATTGTGGCTGGCGTTTGCAAAATGTCTATTGACTGTTGGGGAGGCGGAGGGACTGGCTACTCTTTTGGACCAGGACCGATCATAGAGTGTTATAAAAGAGGTTGAAGGGAAATCATCAAGGTGTGTATGGTATCTCAATCACCCAACTCTTAGTTCGTACGAAGCCGGTTAGAACAGAAAAGGAAAAAGACGAAAGAAAAAGCCTGACCTACTGACCTTTTAGCAATTTGAGAATTACACGATCAAAGAAAACCGAGACAAGGAGAGTGATGATAATGAAAAATTTCCTTGATGACGGCTCTATTGCCTCGAACATGATAGCCGACGACAACGCTGCAACATTACAATTTCTGGATAGATCTTTAAGGGGCTACTTTCGCTCTGGCGATGTGGGCGAAAGTGGTTTACGAAAGCCTTCTTCTGCTCATCTTACAATGTTTGCGACGTCTGTCGATGTGATATGTGACCGCTACAATTCAGCATACGAGGCCGGGGGAAAAGAGTTAAAAGATTATGCCATTAATTTTTGGGCTGATCACTTTTTGGAGCTTGATCCTGTTTCTGCAACGGAGCTAGATCTCCTGCGAGTTATTGAATCTCTGTCTCTCGTCCTGAACGATCACAATAATGCCGCAAAAGAGCTCGAATTAGGGCTAGTCTACCGTGAGATTTTTGGGAAGATAGTTAAGCGCTAGAATAGGTTTTTGAGTCGCTGCCAAATCTCCGCTGAAGATCATGGTTCCGCTAGCACGGGGCCATATCTCGAATTGGTTCCAGCAGATACATGCTGAAAGTGAATCCTTTCGTTTCGCATCGGGTGCGCTCCTGATGATAAGCGTCTTGAAACCTTCAAACTCAGCAGCGTCGCCTCTAACTGACAATATTTACTTCTAGACGGATCTCTGCGCACCTATTTCAGCAAAACATAAAACAGACGCGAAAATATCAAAATGTTTGCGGATGTGTTTTCGGATATTCCAAAAGATGAAAAGGCATATCGAGCCATTGGACTCATTTTGAAAGACTATGGGCACTATGATGCGGGAATTGTCGCATGTGCTGCATTGGGAATATCTATCTCGGAGGCAGATCGTTTTCGCACATTAGTTGTTCTCGTGCAGGTATATGCAAAATTATATGATGACGAAGAAGGCGACGAATCTGACAACGACTCTGGCGATATCTCTGATGAGGTCTCTGACGTCGAATCCAACAGTGGGAATGCCGGGAACGATCCCAACCAATACAATGCCATAGCATATAAGACGATCTGCGAAGCTCTTTCCAGTAGACCTTCTTCCGTGGATGATCCCACTACAGAAGAGGAAGCTCGACTTTTGATTCGAGAAGCGCTACTAATCCAGGGTGACTGCGAGCGTGCTATGGATAGAGTCGATGAGGCTGTGAAATCTTACGGGGAAGCGAGAATCATTTGCTCCTCCGAGATCCTGGATGGGGTTTCTCTGAACGAAATAAAAGAAATTCTTGGAGAACAATCGAGATTCGTGGAACTTATGGAGAACGTTGAACAGTGAACTTTTTGGGAGCGGATGGCTTGGCTCACAGAGGATGATGACAATAGGCACGATACGTTTCGCCGGGCTGCAACCAAAACTGGAAAAGAAGACTCTTTGATCAGGACATACGAAGAAATAATAACATATCTAGACCGCTCGAAGTCATCCGCAGGTATCCTCTGGGAACTTGCGTCGTTTTTATCAGACGATAAAGGGCGATTTTCTCCAATAAGTCCTGGAACTCGAGGGCGCGGCCCATTTTGCGAAGGATATTGGCTAAGACTATGGAACCAGATGTTTCATAAACGACTCCGTCACCTACCGCAGCCCTAAGTCGGCGTGTTTGCAGCTTTTTCAGCTCATCCATGGACGCCATCTTTTTCTCGACGGTTCTGCTCGCCGAAACTCCTCGTAAATAATATCACCAAGGGCCAGCTGGGCTTCAGAAAGGTTTGATAGATCATCATCGTCACCGGTGGCGGGGTTGATGAACGAGCCTCCAATGATTTTGTAGAAAAGGGGTTTGGCCTTTTCTAAAACGTTTCAAACGTACATATCCTCATTAACGGATGATATGGGCTGGAATGATCAGAACAGCTTATGCCTGCTTGCTAAGGTTCTAGCTTCCGTTGGCGGGTTGGAAAGGGAGGCACAAATTGCATTCTCTGCACGGTTCTACATTATCGACCCGCGGGTGGAGCATGTTTTGTCTAGCGATGAGGAGTCTGACTGGAGCACTGACAGCGAAGACGGTAGTGATGGAAGCAATGCGGCTTCAGATGCCGGATCTGGGGCCAGCGGCTCAGCAACTTCCAGCGCCGGCTCCTCGGCATCTGAGATAGGAGAACACCAAGACGAGGATTTCGCACCCAGTACTGACTATATATGTAACGGAGAGTGTGCGGATGACAATATCGAGTATTGGGATAAGGTTCCCGTCTCTGTGTATGATATGCGCCAAACGCGAACTGTGCGAGGAGTGTTATCAAAAACGTCAGGCACTTAATGAGGATTCAACTGACAATAACCACTGGCGGTTGTGCTGCGGGGCGAAGCATTGATATATTAAAAGCCCAGTTGAAGGATGGAAGGGAATCAAGGAAGGTTATATGACCCTTGGAGACGAGAAAATAAAGTTTACGGATTGGTTGGAGGAGATTCGGTCGTCAAAGTGGAAGAGAGCATAGGATCAGTATTGGATGACGGAGGAGACCTAAGGGGATATTTTGGGACAATTATCTTGGGACAAGAGTTAGATGAGAGAGCGGATGTTTTTCGGCCATTCCACCCCTTCATGATCTATATGATAAGAATATATCCTTCTGTATATAGCCTCCTCCCAACACAACGCAGCAGCAAAATGAAATTGTTTCTGAGAACGTAATTAAAGTCAATTCCAACTTTGGTAGAGGTTAAATCCTGAGCCGGGCATGCATGTAGTAAAGTGTTAAATTGTTCGGACAGCAAACGGAAGCTAAAATGTTCGTATTGTACAGTGATGCACCCGGAGTTAAAAGAGAGCAGATATAAAATGAGTATATATATCTTGAACAGGCCTAGCTGGCGGATGGGATGAGCCACGTGGGATAGACTAATAGAAAAAGCACGAGAACAAAAAATAAAAATGCGGCTATTTGGTATGTTGGAATGAAACGTCCTTCCCTGTTTTCTCTTACGGTCGCCATCGTTGTCCGTGTGATGCGGATGCGGAGCCAAGTAACTAAAGTAGAAAAATGGATAACGAGCCAAAAAGAAAAAGGGAGCGCAGAAAACAAGCGGTCCAACTCTTACCCTGTAAATTGAATTAAATCGCAATAGAAAAAATAAAAGTGCAAAGAAAAGCTTGGCAAAATTCAAAGTGGCAGAGAAGAACACCACGCTAATGGGAACTATTGGAAGAAAAGAGGAGGGAAATGGGACAAGAAAAGCACGGCGTAGCATATAACATCGAAAGGGAGAAAAGAAGAGGGGAGAAATAACAATTAAAAAAGGAATAATAAATTAAAGACGCGAAAGACAACTTAGCCAGTATATACATTTGTTCTAAGTGGGATATCTATTATGCTTCTGCTTCTCCGCGTCGTAGTGCAAGAAGGGCACGGACATCTGTTACGTATTGCAGCGCCTCCAAGATTGGGATGAGATGTAAGAGGTCGTTGTCTGTAGGGTCGTTGATCCAGCCTTCGATGGGAATGGCGTTATCTGTATGAACCAAGTGGTTCTTTAGCAAATGTGCAATTTACATAGGAGACGGAGCATTCAATCTCTTTGGGGGCGATTGGAATGATTTTCGTTGACACATACCTTCATGAAAAATATAGCTCATAGGACTATTATCCAAAATCATTACCTTGCTCAAGTCCGGCTCTACAGAGCTAAGGTCCTTGATATATGCACCATTCCGAAATGTGCAATGTTGCCGATAATATCTACGATGAAAGTACTTTCGCTCCTGCTCGAGCCAGTCGATGACTGGGTCTGCATATTCCTGAACACTAGCAGTAAAAACCACCAGTTTATACCATTTGCATACTTTCCGGAGAAAGTCGTCGCAATGCGGGCGTTTATGGACGTAGTAAAGGATAGGGTGCTGAGGTCCGATCGTGGTTGTCGGCCCTCCAGGAGTTGAAGTCGTCACTGGAGCTGACAACTTTACTTCTACCATGTGGCCGCTGGACATTCGGCCACCCTTCGCCAAAGAGTGGATAAGGGTTTCGTCAAGGTCGAGCACCAGGGTTTTTTGGGCCGATGGTCCATACCTGGGGTTTGAAGGTGAGGTGTATGATGGTTGCCGTGGTGGTATGAGCGGTCGTGGTGGAGACGGGGCATGAGGGTATTTTGTGAGCTTATGAGAAGATGGAGACATTGGCGATTTCAAGCTTTCAGCCGCACGAGTTTCGGAATCTTGCCTCGATCCGTCGGATTTCGCTTTCTGCTGCTTTCGTTTCAAATTCCCTTCCGTGTTTAATTTTATACGTATTGATCGTCTGGGGGTTCCTTCGTCGGTTGATGACGAACCGCGAGTTGATTTCGTTCTTCGGCCCCCGCCATTGGTGTGCCTCAATCCAGACCGGTCAGGCTCCGACTCTGAGGTATTGAGAGATATTGACTCTCGGGATGTAGAGCTTCTTAGCCGCCGTACATTACTCCCACCCCGGCCGGAAGTTTTCTCCGTGGCAGGATAAACATTGCGTCCTGACGCAGGGACGCCAATGCCGTGTGATGCCGTCGTGCCTCTGTTAGGGCCTCCGATGAGCTGCCCTAGCCGCCTTACTGGCGTTAAAATAGAGTAACGTCCGTCATCGCCCCGAAAAGCACCCGCAACGTATATACCTGGAGAGGCAAGCGCAGACAATATAACTTTTAATGTTTCGGCAATGGCATCGAAGAGGCGTTGAGCAATCAATTGTAGTTTACTAGTTGATGGGAGAATGCCGCTTGTTTGTAATCCCTGTAGGAGAGGAGATTTCTCATCCACCGTGTCTGGTAGATCTAGGGAATCTTCGTTTTCCTGGACGTCATGGTGACTCTCTCCTAGGAGCTGGGCGTCAACTGACTCCGCAAGGTGCAGCTTTCCCTCGCTGTACGATCTGCCCGCAGCTAGGTCACTTCGGTGGCTTTCGGAGGACACAGGGCCTTGTGAACGGGAGCGGGGACGGGTATTGGACGTGGTAGGCTGTCTGATGACTCGAGATGAGAGGATATTGAGCGAGTTCATGGTTCGTTGCAGGCCATGCAACCGTATCTGGACGCAGTTGTCTACTCATAACTAGATCAGCAACTAGTACCACGAGGGTTCAGGACAAGGAGCATAGCGTAGGCACAATAAAAATGATCATGAATTGAAAACAGACCAGGGGTTTCAGCTTACCTCAATGCGCCAGATGCTGCTGACAGCCCCAGCCACTGCCAACTGGCTGCCGGGTGCTGCTGGGCGAGTACAGCAGCCGGGGTGCACCTAGCGGCAGTGCGGTGTTTTAACTGTACGGGATGCTAATGTCCAAGCAGAAGGAGGAACAAGAGACGGAGTGTCACTGGCAAGAGAATGGAGAGAGACGAGGACAGGAAGCCAAGCTGAAGTCAGCGCTGTCGTTGCCGTTGTCGTGTTGTTGTGGTAAATAGTCGCAGTTGCTGGTAGTTTGTTGATGTTGGAGGAGGAGAATGAGCGAAGTGGTTGAAGGTTGAAGGTTGGTGGTGGTGGTGGGGAAGCAGAGCCGCCGCAACGACGGTCTCATTTGTTGGGCCGAACAACGCACGCCAACAAACAGCCGTTAAGACACAACCCGCTCCAGCTGCATCCCAACCATAACAATGCTCGGGTTTAGGAGCCAAAACGGAGCAGAGATATCTCCTTATTCTACAGGCAGCAATGCATGGATTTCCGTCTGGTATTGAATCCCTTTCATGCAGGTCCACGCCTCTCAACAGAACTCCCAACCGACGCTCCTCCTCTCCTCCTCTCCTGTTAACTAGTTACTGTAGCCAATACCCCTAGGCATATCAACCAACACTTAAATAAAAGCGCCTTATTCAGCTCGATAGCAATCATGTGGTCTCCTGAGTTGTAGGCTACTGGGGCAAAAGAGCCCAGTCACCACCAGCGCACTGCTGGTAGAAGGGCCGATCAACCCGGGACCCCCAACAAGAGTCTCATGTGCAATTCCCTTCACAATCACCACACCGAGAAGGTCCGGTTGTTATCTTACCGCTCGTCCCCTTCTACTCACGGAACAACTACGGAGGACACCCTGCCAATAGAGTAGCAGCCTTGAACAAGTCTCAAACTACCAATGATACTCCTGGAGCACTTGTTGCCCGGTTTGTACCCAAGGAGCCTTATATTCATGTGATATATGCTGGCCTACTTTTTATCTAACTACCATTCACCAGGACTTTTGGGTTTTGATAGCGTTCTCTATCGAGATATTGAATGCTCATGCTTTTTCTCGAAACCTTTTCTCCAGGAGGGTCCTTTTGCCAGGCTTAAAAGCGCAATTCCTGTACTTGACAGGTCAACA